CTCTCTCTGTCTTCTCTCACTCTCTCTCTCTCTTTCTCTCTTTCCTCTACCCTATTGCCATCTTTTTCTGACCCTCTCTCTTTCTCACTATCTCACACATAATACAAATACCTCGCCCTAACAACACACACTCGAACATACAGTCACGCACGCCGTATTAAATCACAAAAGCAAGCACAGATGTCCAAGTAAGCGCAAAGTCAAATCTGGACAATCATCATGGCATTTCTCAGAAGTAAAAAAAAAAGTAAGTAGTTTTTTTTCCGACACAATTTAGATAATTTAGGAGGCGGGCATCGACCCTGTCTGCTAGAGCCCGCTCAGGTTGAGGGAGATAGACATCCCAGCAGAAAGACAAGAGACACCTGATAAACATTTTCTCACCACTCGGGAATCGGACTCGAGTCTCCAGCATGCGACAGTGAAGCGTCTAACCGCTACACCACAGATGCCGGTCTCAGACTTTTGGCTTAAATTATCTTTTCAATTGGTGAAGCATTACATGACGTGTTGAACATTCTTGAACAAGACGGGAGACAACACTGTAAAGAAGAAAAAGTTATTAATAAAATTATCCTTCTGAGCCGAGGGGCGCACTCCTGCTGCAGTGACGTTGATTGAAACTGAGATAACCCAAGAGATACACTTAAGATCTCTTGCTGTGAGTGTGGGCGATTCAGGGCGAGATACGCCTGTCACGATCAGAACAAGAATTTATGTTTGCTTTCGAGATGTCTATTAGCACAGGCCTTTTTTACTGGAATTTGAGCTGCAAAGTGCTACATAATGTTCTTTACCTAATAATTCAACTACTTCTACAGTGTTGTTGTCATTTTGATTTGAATTTTCCCTAAGAATGAAGGAAAAAATCAGGAATTGTGGAGTTGGATGTTAAATCCTGTCAATTTGGAAGTGCGCAACATTTTGCTTTTTTCACTACTGTCTCCTTCTAAATCACTTTTGCCAGTCTCTTATGTGAGAAATCATCTATGTGTCCTTATCTGGTTGATTTTGATAGTAAAATTTCATGCTTACATGTTATATTTTGAAATTATGTCATCATATGAAACGTCGCTAGAACTTTGGTTGTTACGTTCATCATTTGACATAAACTTTTGTCTCATTTCTCAGAGTTGATGTGCTGTACAAGGTTCTATTTTGGAATTTTGATTTCTTTGCATGTGAAACATTATTTAAATGTGTTTTTATGTCAGTAATTGCTTTTAAAATGTATGTTTTTGCCTCCTCGTGATGTCAAACCTGATGTGCGTAATATCAAGGGGTACTGTCAATAAACGTCATTTCTTCAACAACTAGACTAGTTCTTGTCCTATAACCTGTCTAATATAGTCTGCCACATATTTATGTATATGTTAAAAGTAAAAACAACATTTATTGGGGGATACTTCAAAATTGAGTCTGGTGGTCATTTTGATGGCACAGTTTTTGGCAATTGGCCATATATATATA